TCATCAATGGCTGCTAACATCACAAAAAAGAGTGATAACCAGACATAATGTGCTTCCTGATGGCATACTCAGAAACAACCATGAAGTATTGCCAAAAAATCAAGCCTGAATTTGATCAAGCCTCAAGATCTACCAGTTTATAAAAAATACAAGGAGGAATGTACTAAATACCATAGAAATACAATAAAAAAAAAAAAAAAAAAACCAAGACTGCAAAAACTACAGAACAAGCAACGTGTTTCTTCAACGAAAAATTACCAGGAAAAAAAGAGATGGAGGAATGAGAATCTATCATTCCCAAGGTCTTAAGAGATGTTAACTATTTTAATGTGTAAATCTTATTTTGCATCCTGATATAAACAAACTAAAAAAAAAATTGAACTTGGGAAATTTAAACATTGATTGCTTATTTAATGATATTAAATTATTAATAATTCTATTTGTGATAACAGAATTATGGTTATGTTTTTTTGAGTCCTTACCTTTTTTAATTAAATATTTTGAGATAATTATAGATTCACATTTAGTTCTAAGAAATTATATTAAGAGGTCAGGTGCAGTGATTAAATGCCTGTAATCCCATCATTTTGAAAGACCAAGACAGGAGGATTACTTGAGGCCAGGAGTTCAAGATCTGCTGGGGCAACATAGTGAGACCGCCATCTCTACTTTAAAAATAAAAATAAAAATAAATGTTACCAAAGGATATCACATATCCTTTATCAAGTTTTTCCCAATGGTAACATCTTGCAAGACTATAGTACAGTATCACAAACAAGATACTGACACTGATTGAGTGAAGATCCATAACATTTCCACTGCCATAAGGTTCTCTCATGTTGCCTTTAATAGACACACCCATTTCCCTCCCATTCACACTCCCTATCACCTGGCAACCACAAATCTGTTCTTCAGTCCATGATTTTGTCATTTCAAAAATGTTCTAGAAGTTCTAGAAATGGAATCACACACTCTGCAACTTCTGGAATTGCCTCTTTGCACTCAGCATAATTCTCTGAAGATTCATCCAGGTTGCTGAGTGTATCAATAGTTGGTTCCTTTTTATTGCTGACTAGTATTCCATGGTAATGGTATGCTACTTTCTGTTTAATCATCTACCCATTGAAGACACCTGGGTCTTTTTTTTTTCCATTTTGAGCTATTATAAATAAAACTGATATAAACATTCAAGTAGAACCCTTATCTTTTAAAGTACTTACACATGTAGGGATGAATAAAATGATGCTAGGAATTGCTTCAAAAAAGTTCCTAAATGGATAAGATATGGAAAAAAATAACCTCTTCATCAGCTAATAAGTGCATCATACAATTATCTCTATTTTTATATGTTTAACATTTTCCATAACATAAAGTTCAAAAAAAGAATCCAGTAAGAAAAAATTACTTATCTGACCACTATATAACCCTGCACATAAACACACATATCTTCAAGTATAATTGAAGATACACTTTTTTTATCTTGTGACTTTAGGCCATGCCAAGATCACAGGAATTCTTTGCTTAAAACATAGAGCCCACACCTTCCAGTGATTATTATTGAAACACTTACTGTAACAATTAAGGCAGATCCAACCCAAGTATCTGTTAACTTTCTTTCAGAAGTTTTTTTATTAGGCTACAGGGTTGATATAATAGGTAGTCTGTAACATTGGACAAAAGCAGGTAAGTAATCACCATAATCAAATGTATGAGATTTATGAGTGGCTTGTCTTCAAAAGAGAGAGTTTATGTCTGACATGAATAGGTCCTTATCATCAAGACAAATGCTGAAAGAACAGAAGTGTGATTACTAAAAATGAAGAGCAACAAACTATATGAGTACAATCAGGCCTGAAAATGAAGTGAAATGCATTTTATATTATGCAAAGGCTGCCTTTGTTTTTAAGCCACTCTGGAGGACAGCATATTATTACCATGTTCAGTCTGCAAGCTAATGATTCCTTAGTATAATTTTGCAAAATGGTATCTACTATTCAACATCACCAATATTCTATCAGCTCATTCTTCCCTAGTGCTGTCTCATCTTCTCCCCCTCCATCTCACTGAGGATACCTTGATTTTTCTTCATATGTGGTACTAAAAAATGAAGACCTATTCTCCCAAAGATCTCAAGCAAAGAAGAAGATATAAATACCAATCTATTTATCAATCCAGGATTAAAAGCCAAGATTTCCAAAGGAAATATTCATGATGCTTTTCAAGTGCCAAGTAGTTCAATGGCTACAAATGAGTTTCCCTTATTTGGTCTTTAATGCCTTGTCATGCACCATGATGAGCAATTCTAAAGCTTAAATAAATATTGTTATTAAAAGTAGGATATCTGTTCACAGATCAAATCCCAATAAGACAAATTCCAAAGGATCACCTAAGTTTTATAATTGTGTTGTAGTGTGGTTTTATCAAATAGCCCTTCTATTAAGTCAGCCCCAGCCTTGGTGTTAGAAATAGTAATGCTTGTTGTGATATGATTTGATCTGTAATACCATACTATGATAGGGAGGAAAAAGATGGTACACTAATAGGCTATCTGTGTGACAGTCAAATAACTATAAAATGAAAGACATTAGTCAATTCTATTAAAAACAATCTATATACAGATGGTTCAGTGGTGAGTTTAACAATGTTAAGAGTTCTATCAATGGAAAGAAATCTACGGCAATATTGTATCAAAATCTTGTTCTTATGTCATGGGTCAGAATGGAGACACACAGAATTAAAATATAAAATATCACAGATCACTAGAAATGGTGCTATATATAGGTGCTACATTGAGGAGATTAATTTTCTGCTAGAGACAGAAAATGAAAATGATAAGAATTGGATTCAAGAATAAAATGGAATGGAGAAAGAGTTGATAAACGGGTGTAAAGTTAAATACACATATATTTTTGAATACTCTTTTCCTGTATCTTTTGCCATCGTTCTTGACTCTTACAACCAAACAGTTTCTGGGTCCTGTGGATAAGGACTCTACAATATAAATTTTTGTACAGTTTGTGGCCATTGACAAGATACTCGAAGTTGGAACTCTTAGCACTCAGCTTGACATACTTAAAGGTTAATCTAAAATAGTTTGCATAAAATAAAATGTTCTTGCCAAATCTTTAGGGTTGGTTTGCTTATATTTCACATTACCCTTCTTCATAGCAACCACAATTGCCTGGTCTACAGACTTGGATTTCAGAGGGGCCATTTTTGTGAGTTGAGGTGGTTTCAGAGAAGGGAAAGTATGAGAGCACAGGTAGTAACAGGTCATGCATACAGAAAAATGAGGGAAAGCATCACATCTAGAAAAAATTCCAAGAACAAATTACACAAGAGGAGTATAGAGAGATGAATAACCATGTCTGGCATGAGCTGTGTAGAGTGGAGGAGCGGAAGATAAACTTAGAAGAGCAGGTTGGAGCCAGGGAGTGGCAACCTCTGACGCCCAGGCAAAGCATTTAGAACACATCCCATAGGCCCTCAGAGAACTACTGCAGGTTTGAGCACACGTAAGATAAGTGCAGCAGTGGTTAAAAAGATGTGACTACAGGTAAGAGGCAGAGAGGAAAGGAGCAGAAGACCACAGATAAGAACCTTTACTAATTGTTCCACATGACATCAGAGGGCTTGATTTAGGAGGGTGATAGTGGGAAGAGAAAAGATTAATTTGAGGGGGGCAGTGTGAAATATACAAATACTTAAAGCTAGTTTTATCCTCAATTAAAACCTAGAAAATGGTCATTATTAAAGAACTACTTATGAGATGCTGAGGATTATTATGTAGATTGAGAGGTAAACTGTCATTATGATCAAACACATAAGAGGGCATAAAAATTCTAATAACTGATAAAGTCATTTTTAAAGGAAGCTTTCATTAAGCTTAACAGGAGCTTGGAAAAAAATGGATTTTTGATATAAGTAAAAATTATATTTAAGGAGATCATGATTGGTTGCAAGGTGATGAGCATCTTTAAATTTCAAAATAACTGCTGATTTTAGCAAGGCAGTAATAATGACTTATTTGATTGACAGATCTATTTTCCCTACTTTTGCAAATCTACTTTCGCAGATCTATTTTCTCTACTTTTTCAAATCACTATTGCAAACACATTAATCAAAAGCTCTTCTTTTTTGCAAATGCATCCATGAGTAAAATTGTAAAACAGTATAGATTACATAAGCCTAATCTTCTTAGTATATAAGCCAACTTAGTTTCTATTTTCATTTGCTTAATACATTTTTATTGAGCATTTACTACATGATAAGTACCGTGCTAGTGCTGCATGTACAATGAAGAATAAAAGAGACACGGTCTGCCTATGTGAGAGCTCACAGTATAGGCAATCCCAGACTTAGGATGGGTCAACTTAACAATTTTGATACTTTATAATGATGTAAAAGTGATACACCTTCAAGAGAAACCATATCTTGATACCATACAACCATTCTGTTTTTCACTTTCAATAAAGTATCTAATAAATCGCATGGAGCTATTCAACATTTTATTATAAAAAAGGCTTTGTGTTAGATGATTTTGTCCAGCTGTAGGCTAATGTAAGTGTCCTGAGCACATTTAAGGTAGGCTAGCCTAAGCTATGATATTCAGTAGGTTAGGTGTATTAAATGTATTTTCTACTTAAGATATTTTTAACTTACGATGGGTTTATCAGGATGTATCCCCACTATAAGTGAAAGAGTATCTGTATGGTGGAATAAATAGATATCAATTTAAACATCATTCTAATATGTAATTAAAATTGGAATACATATTCTAAAGAAAAAATACAGGGCACTATGAGAGCTTATAATAGGGAGGCTAAACCAAGATTGAGTCTGGGAGGTGTTTTTAAGGAAACTGTCTGTGAGGTAAAATATGTAAGGATATAGAGGAGTGAAACAGGGAAAAGAGTTGGGGAGAGGGAACTAGAAGAAAAGATGAGCAGAGGGAAAGAATACAATAAAATGCATACAATAAAATGACAATGCTCTCCAACCTGTTGTGTAATAGTATCCCATGGTCCCTGTAGCAGTCGCGTCTTATAGCACTCATGAACTCCTTCCCATATGTCCTTCAGAGTTAAAGGTCTCCCATCTGTGAAAGTGCATGGTAAAGACTGAGTTAGTAATTCACGTGACACAATGGTACTTGGTGTCAATCTAAAACTCCTGGAAGAATATCATGACTTTTAGAAAGATCTTTAGTGCACATGCTATTTACATATCAAGAGAGTGCTATATGAATTACTATTTTCTTCCTGAGGGAAATTTAAACATTCAAGCTTCTCAGCTTTGTATCCATCTAGCATTTAAATTATCTGCTCATTCATTGCCTCTAGGAATTTTGCAAAATAAATAAAATCCAAATGTGTTTTAGAGAGAACTGACAGATACAAGCACAGGCAAAGGAACAGACAAACAGACTCCCATATTCACAAAAGTGAACTACGAATACTCTGAATCCTTTGTACTTCCTCTAGTCCTTAAAACAAAGAAGCCATACCCATGCATCTTTCACATTCTTGTGGAGTATTTATAATTTCCAAATCACTTCATCAGTTACCATGGAGAATAGAGAGAAGAAAAACACACAATTTCTCCTAGTAAAGAGCCTATCATCTACTAAGAAAACCATGACAAGTATATTATAGTAGAGTGGTCTCTGGCTGAAGAAGACTAAAGCTCACTGATGGTCTAAGGAAGAGAGATATTAACAATTGATGTCTATGGCAGGTAGGGAAATGGACTCTTGGGGTCAATGGACAGGAGAACAGCGTTGGCATGAAGAGGGCAGTAAAAGCTTTATTGAACAATAATGCTCTTTGTTTCAATTATCCATCTGTATCCACCCAAATGATGTATTTTACAAAGACCACTATGGCACTTACAATATACACAAGATAAGTAAAGTCGAAAAATAGGTTTCTAAGTTCTAAAAAGAAGGCAGAAAGAAAAAGTCACCTAAAGATTTCAAACCACATACTGCTGGAAAGAAGGTGTCTTAATACTAGAATCCAGTACAACTTGGTCCACTCAGAGCTATAAAGCCCTCAAGACTCACAGGTGTGCTCTTTTGGGCTAATGGATGATACCACTTAAAGATATTTCACACAGCAATATACTGAATATTTAGACCAAAGAAGTATTTGATCATCGAAGGCAACAAAGCTTAAGGGAAATAATCTACTCAAGAGTTCCAAAAATCACTGTATTCAGACTTTCAAGTATAAGTAGAAATGTATGGTGTTGGGAAAAAAGCACTAGATTTGGAGTCTGGACTAAGTTTAAATCCTGGGGTTGGCACTTAGTTCTACATGACTGCAAATTATTTTGCTTTTAACTGCAAAATGAGAATAATAATCCTTTCTGAGTGTTGTTCTTTTGAGGCTTACATGAGTGAACCCACCCAGGACTGTGTTAGGCACACAATAAGAGCTCAATAAATATTAGGAATCTTTTTCCAGTACTCATACAATTATTCCCATTATTCTCAAAGCTGAAAGATTCATTTCTAGACTGTGATTTCTTAGAATTTTCCCATGTTGGGATACCATTCATATCATCTTTGATATAGTAATATACTAATATCATAAGCAGGGCATTTCTCATGTTTGACCTAAAAGTTGAACTTTTCCTCAACCTTTATTTTCAATAAATAGCAATAGAATATTTTGATACATTTTCAATAAGTATCTTCATCTTGGCATTTATCTGGCGGCAGGAGACCATTATCGTGTGATAAATAGTTTTATTCCATTGACATTTCCATGTCTGTAAAATGAACAAGATTTATTCATCCAATTAACATTTGAATGTCATGTTTAGCTACAAGTTAAAAACAAGCTGCCTTCGGTATCTGTGTTATATTGTTTTCTGAACACATTTACAGAGTAGGGCCAAACTCTGCTCTTAAGCATTATGCACCTTTGAAATATGCACATGCCATGCCTGCCTCTGTGTGTGTGTGTGTGTGTGTGTGTGTGTGTGTGTGTGTGTGTGTTGGTATGGGAAGAGGCAAATAAGATCTTAAGTACTTTAGTGTCAAATAGTAAATAATAAAATTGTAGAATAATGACATGCTCTTAAAATAATTTTTATGTGTCAAAGTTAAAAGAAATCAAATACCTGCAGTAGGATAATAAAAGGTTAGAGCTAGTATAACCACTAATTGTATAAATAGGGCAGCCAAGGTCTTAGGAAATATGCATCTGCCAAAAGTATGCAGCCAGTTCATGGCTGAAGTCTGAATCCAGATCTCAGGACTCACCAGTGCTCTTCCTGCTGGTCCACGCTGCCTCCGAGGGCAAAGGAGTTGCTAATGGTTTATAAATATTTACCGAATAAATGATAAATGACGAAAAATGCCTTTCTTATTTCCCCTAAAATAATGCTTTACAGGCCTAGAGAAGAACACTGGGTTTCATATCTGATAATCAGTAATGATTTTAATTTTATTCCTTAAAGTATTTCAGGCAACAATGTAAGTATGGAGTAAATGGTTTGGATAGAAGTTAATTTTAGAAGTAGATGTTTTATATAATTTGGCACCAACTATATGCCAGGCATCTGTTCCAAGCCTTTGTGATACATCAGTGACCAAAACATTCATACCTGTTTTCATGAAGGTTACATGTTACCTTGAGGTGTGCGTGTGTGGGGGTGTGTGTGTGTGTGTGTGTGTGAGAGAGACAATACACAATTAACAAAATAAATGAGTAAATTATATATTATGTTAGGAAGTGATACATACTATGGTGAAAAGGAAAAGTAGAGCAGGCTAAGAAGTGCCAGCCAAAGGCAGGTTTGCAATTTTAGACTTCAGTGAGAAAGTAGCTTGTGTGCAAACACTGGAAGGCACAGTCTTCCAAGGAAAGGGACCAACCAGTGGAAAGACCACCAGGGGTGGGCAGGGGATCACTGGCACTACATGCAGATCACTAACATTCGTCACTTAAAGACAATGACTTAAAAGAATCACACAGCTTTATCAAGATATAATTCACATACATACAATCTATCCATGTGAAGTATACAATTTAATTATAGAGTTGTGCAATCATCACCTCAATCAATTTTAGCACACTTTCATTACCTTAAAAAAAAAAAAACAGCGGGACACAGTGGCTCATGCCTATAATTTCAGCAATTTGGGAGGCTCAGGTGGGAGGATTGCTTGAAGCCAGGAGTTTCAGACCAGCCTGGGCAACAAAGTGAGGCTCCATTTTTACAAAAATGTGGCCATATAGGGAAGGGTAGAGACAAGAGGCCAGGAAAGTATTTACCTCAGTGGAGTCCTTTGGCTGCAGTCCCAATGAGGCCTGGCAAAGCTTTATTTCTTTTTCTGCAGAATAAGCCCGATTTTCTTCTCACCCCAATTTTCTGAACCAACTTGGGTGCTTTTCTGATTCTTGTAACCAGAGCTTTTTTTGAAAAGTAGCTTCTTCAAATGAGGAAACCGATGGAAAAGTTAATAACGTAACAGAGCCCAAGTCTGTTTTGCATCCACAATGATGCAACTGCTTGAGATGCTTAAACAGTCGTGACTTCCAGGACTAGCCTCTCCAAACCATGGTCTCCAACTTCTAAAATATAACCCCCTTAAAAAAACTGAGGAAGGTCAACAAGCAATTACAATACTTTTGTTAAAATATCTGCTTCTCCTAGGCGTATAATGGCTATATCTCAAGGGCTACTGCAAAGTCTCTTTAGCACCTCCCGAAGTTCTGTGTTTGGCACCCCCTACTGGTGGTATGCTAGGCCTTGTGGGACTACATGTTTTTAAAACAAACATATCAAGTCTTAAATATTCAAAAGACCACTGTTCTTCAAAACTGTCACCTAGGGAGGTTACCTGACTATTCAGCAAGTTCAACAAATATTTATTTCCAACAATGCTGCAATGCTGTCAATGGAACTGCCTTTGAACTTCTGAACTCCCTTTGGAGCCAGACAAGTAACTAATTATTTACTAGTCCCAAACAGGTTTAAATCAAAGGAAAAAATTATACTTATTCTATATATTTAGTTCCAAATGATTTTGTTGTCACCAAACAAATTCACCTTTAATGGGTAACCATCTTCCAACTTTTAACCACAAGGACTGTAAGAAGTTTCAAAACCAGCAGTTCCCAAAATATGTTGCATAATCAGAGTATGGCTGGCAAAAGCATATAATTTTGCTTTTCCTCTGTATCTCTGCAAATCTCTCCAGTTTCGGCTGACCATTTACACCGTAAAAGGTCTGGGTAAACATAGCTTTGTCTCTATGACAACAATAACCTAATGAGGTATGACACGGGTTCTCTTCCCTAAGCCTTCATCCCTGGTTTGCCTAGGCACAGTTTACATCTTCAACATCAAGGACATACAAAAGTTAGTTTTTGGGATCTTCCATACAAAAACAAAAAGACATAATCTAATCAGCAATATCTTCAAAATCCTGGCATACATTATTGATATCTAAAATGCATTCAAATATGATCATGACTCTAATTATTTCAAAAGCAAAACAGATACTTGAGAAATGCCACTGAAACAACTGAATTGGGATATTTATATATGTATAAAGAACCACATCACAGAAACAAAGCAGAAACCTGAAGAATGTTGTATATAGCCATTTATTTATGAAAACTAAAGATCAAAACTTAAAATTAAAATATCGACATAAATACTTGCCTAAGTGCATGAAACACATAATTATGTGCCTACATGTTCAATTCAATGTATCTTCAATCAGAAACTTTAAACCATGTTAATAGGGTCTATTTGTTACATCTGTCCTCAGTCAGAGGAGACATAAGCATACTCAATCAACAACACCCTTGTTTCAGACCTAAGATACTCAATAGCACCAATTTTAACATGCTTAGAAATTTCATTAATCACATTGAGGCTGAGGAGCTCAGTAAAATCCCTTGAATACCTGAAAAATTGAAGTAGAAGCCAAGATAATTTCAGCAGTAACCTACATAGTTAGCATGGTAAACTGAGGTCATTTATATAACAAGTGTTTAGTGAATGCCTACTATGTGCCAGTATTACTTGGAATGATAATACACATTTAAACTAAAGGAATGGTCTGTCAGTAATCTA